TCCCAAGGCAATGTCCTCCATGAGTCCAGCTGGAGACCTAGAGTCCATGATGACAATGTCTCCTGCAAGTTTGTGTCAAGGATCTGTGCTAAGAAGGCCCAGAGGTCAGCGGTGGGACTGAGGCAGCCTGTACATAGGTGGCCTTTGGAGACAGGTCCTCCGGTGGGCACCAGGCTCGGTGAAGGGTCTGAGGGGACTGCCCAGGCCTCCTGCTCCCTGGCGCTGCAGTGAGGGACCCCTCCCTTGTGTGTGCCCCTTGCCAGCCCTGAGGGTGTCTGACTCTGCCGCCCTGGGAAATCTGAGCAATGCTGGAGCCGGACTGGACCTTGGAAACTTTGCAACCCAACCTTGGTGTTGCAGGTGAGGACCCTGAGGAACGCAGCCTCCTGGCCAGAGTCCTTCTAGAACGTACTTAGCACGGGAGCTGTCTGTACCCACGCAACCACTTTCCTCCTGAGGACCAGGCGCCTCTGCTACTCAGTGGCGCTGGTGCATGGTATTGCAGTTGGACCTCTCAGCATTACAGTCACTAATCACAAGAATCATTTTACATCGGTTTCCAGGCCCTGTTCACCTCCTTAGCAGCTGTGCAACCCTGAACAGAGGACTTGGCCTTCCTGACCCTTCCTCCCTGGGAGCCCACATTTCCAGGGTCATCATCACCCACGTGAAGGCTGGGGCACTGGCACAGCGCAGGATTCGAGACCTGGGAGCTAGGGTTGGGGTTATTCTATCTTCACCCAGCCCGAAATCTTTTCATCTGTTACATTTTATCCCCACCTTTACTTCCCTCATCAAAAAACAGCCTGGGAAAGGGAAAGAAACCAGGCTGCGGCATTGAGGCTCCGATCCCGACTCCAGGGGCCCAAGGGAAATCACGGTGGTCAAGCACCTGGGAAGCACTCGTGAGGCCCTGGCTTTCAGCCCCAGCCCTGTAGAAAGCAAAAACCATTAATCAGTAAGTAAGTTTGAAAGGTAGATTTGTTTCCCTATGACTGGGGGAAATCTCTGTTCTTATCATCTAGGCTTATTTTATATTCCACAGGATGCCAGCAGCACCTTGGCAGGAGCAAACTATCTCTAAAACACGAGCTCTTTCGGGTGACACAGGTGCCCACGGGTGCAGTTTCTCTATATGTAACTGTGATGTCTGCAGAACAAAGCCGTTCTGGGGGACAAGGCCGTAGGCCAAGTGAATGCCTGCCTCGCTGACCGCCCCTTCCCAGGGAGTGGGCTGGGTCACCATGCTCTCTGCCACACCATAGCCTTGGTTAGTTTGGGGTCATTGTGTGCCTGTGTGTGCTGCTGGTGGTGGTACCAGGCTTGGATTCAGGGCCTTTGCACTAAGCTGCATCCCCAGTCCATTTTTTAAATTGTAATGTAGAGACAGTGTCTTGCTAAGTCTCTGTTTGCCTGGTTTGGGCTTGAATTTCCTTTCCTGCTGTCCCAGACTATAGGGGCGCTAGGATCATGGCCACCAGGCCCTGCTTAGCTGTCACTTTCCGGCATGACAGGACAGTGCCCTGTGGCCTGTCCTCAGGTCCCCAGAGGCCTGAGGAGCTTGGTGGGAATGAGGGCGTGCCGGTGCCTCAGCCTCGTCCCTGTTACCCGGTTACCGTGCACACGTGCAGGTGGCGGGTCAAAGGACTGTCAGAGACTGCGTGCGTCACTGCACTGCACACAGCGGCTTCTCAGGGCGCCCTGCCTTGGTCTGAATGTGCCGGGGCTCGCTGTGTAAAGGGCCAGGTGGGCAGGAAGATGGGGGTGAAATTCTCCCTCCCAAAGTCTGGAGCTAATAGGGACCAGGGCTGGGATCTGAATTCCAACTCAAATGTCCTATTCGAGCGGGGTTACTCTTTTCTTTCCCCCCAGAAACACAAACTTATCAAGTTATGTAAGTAAAGGTAATGGTACCCTAAGCGCATCACTCAATCTAAATTCCTTCTTCTTTCTCTTATTAAAGGGTCATCCTCAGCCCTGCTGTGGAAACGCTGCCAAACTGCAATACAGCAGCAGTTCTACTTGTTAGTAATTTTCTCTTTAAAAAATTCAGGTGAAAATCACATTCCATGTGGGTAATCACCTTCAAACGAACCATGCAGTGACCCTTTGACTATTCACTGTGAATCATAACCTTGACTTCCCTTATTTATTTATGGATTTTCTGTCTGGGATTGAACCCAGGACTTTTACAATGAGCTGCACCCGCAGCCCACATTTTATTTTTATTTTGAGACAAGGTCTTGCTAAGTGGCTCAGGCCAAGTTTGAACTTGTGAACCTCCTGTCTTAGCCTCCGAGTGCTGGGATCATAAGTGTTCACCACCACACAGTTTAATTCCAAAATATTTTTTGTCTCCCCCAAAGGAAACCTTGCATCCCACTAAGTACTCCTCCCTACTCCTCCTCTGGACCTGAAATCACTCACTCCGTGGTCTAGAAGCCCTGGGTTCTAAGTGCCTCAGTGAGGACCTCGGTAGGGGAGGCACTCGGCCACACTCAGCCCCCGCCAGCTCGAGGGTCAGCAGAGCCATCCCAGGCACCGTCTAAAACGGCCGCGCTGCCACTCTGGACGGTGTCCCTGCCAGCTTGGGCCAGGTCTGGGTCCTGGGGGGGGGGGGGGTCCAGGCAGTCAGGCTGTCCCTGAGTCTGCTGTCCTTGTGAGGGGATGTGGAGTCTGCTTCACTGCAAAATCTTCCCCAGAAGGATAAACTCGCCTCCCGGCTACCTCTTCCACACACCACAGGACGCACTGTGCAGCTGCTCCGCGGGGAAATGCACGTTAAAGGTGAATATTTGCAGGGCTTTTGCTCATATCATGGAAATCGCAACTTCTGCTCAAAGGACGTGAGGACAGCTTGTGCCAGAGGAGACGCAGGTTCTAACACTGAAAACAAACCACAGCTTTATGGTTCACAGACATTGAAAATTCATGGACTTGTGTAGTCCTCTAAGTACCAGAAGGCAATGGTATTACTCCCATTTTACAGATGAGGAAATTGAAGAGGCAGAAGTGAAGTGACCTGCAGAGGGCTGCAAGACAGGCCTTCCTGGCCCCAGACACAACCAACCCTCAGAATGGCATCTATGGCTGTCGGAGTTGATGCCCTGGGGATTCAGAACAGGGCCTTTCAGAACCGCCAGAGTCTCCCACTGTGTCAAATGGATCAGGATCTGACTGAAGGAGCTAAGTTCACTCTCAGCCTCGCTTTGTCCCTGGATGAAGACCGTGCTCCTCACGAGACACTCATAGAGGAGAGGATGGAGCAGAGCGCAGGCTCAGTGTGACCTGGGTGCTCTCCCCAACCCCCGTTAAGCTATTTTCTCCTCTCTGTAGCGTTACATTCAAACTGCAGGTCACCAGCTTGCTGGAAAATTCCCTCCGTGTGTTAAGCAATGATTATGATCCTGATAGCAACAAAGGTGATTGCTAGCTCTGTCCTGGGTGTGACCAATGCTGGGCGCTGCCGATGAGCCATTCCATTCGAGCCTCACCACAACATAGAGAAGCAATTGCTGCCTGTTGCATCACACAGGTGAAAAAACCAAGCTTGGAGTGGGCGAGCGCCTGGGCTTTGCAGTTAGACAGCTGGGTTCATGCCCAGCTCTGTCTCCAGCCAATTTGCATGGCCCTGGATGAATTCCTCCATGCCCAGCTTCACAGGGCTGCTTTGAGAGATAGGTGAAGTGGGCACAAGGTCTGCACCTGGTGAGCACTTCCTATGTGTTCAGGATTATTAACGCCTTTCCCAAGGTGGCCCAGCTCCGCCGGACCGAAACCCTTTCCTCACCACTCCTCAAGTTTACCTTAGTCCCTGATTCAGCTCCGGGGCAGCCGGGCACCTGTCTCTTAGGGGCAGGAACACTGGGGCTCTGGCAGGCATCGCTGCTGAGGGGATGACAAGGAGATCTGGACTCGCTGACCTGGGACCTGATTTCTCTTTGCCCAAATGCCTCTAGCAACTTTCAGGGAAGTTTTCCGGTCTCCTTCACCCTGCCTTCCAAACGGAGTACACACCCTTCCCAGTACGGTTCTCCGATGCTTTCATGCAGGACACCTGCCACCCTAGGGGGTGCCCTGGACGTGTCACCTCGGTGCCCCAACTCCTGTCTCTAGACCGAACACTTGTCTTCAAGAAAGGCATGGGCTGCGATCCAGTGGGCACTCAGTACCGCTGGGGCACAGCTTAGAGGTGGACGGGGAGGAAGGGACAGGAGGGGAGGGCGCGAAGGGGCTGCTGGAACCCTCGGGTGCCACCGGGAGACGGCCTTCAGAGAGCACTGTCTGTGTTCCTGGGAAACCTGGCTGCACTTCGGGCTCAGGATGGGCCGGGCTGGGGCAGGGAGCAGGGGAGCGAGGATGCTCCGGGACCTTTCCGCGGTGCGGAGAGGAACCCTCCCGCAGCCGCCTGCAGGGAGGGCGTCTTCCCGGGCGCGGGCCGAGCTCCGCACTGCACAGCGAATGCCAAGTCCTCGGGAGCCCATTTCGGTCCCGTGCCCTCCCGCCCGCGTTCTCCTTCCCCGTGGCGCTCAGCATCCCCGTGCCCGTCTCGCTCCGGTTCCCAGGTACGACCCGGTCCGGAACCGCCCGGCACGCAGCAGGGCCTCGGCCAGCGGAACGCACGCGGCGAGGCGCCGCGTGGTGACCTTGGGGCGCCCGCACCCTCCGCGCGTGTGCGCCCCGCGCCTCGCCCAAGGTCGCGCTGCGGGCCGGGCCGGGCCGGGCCGGGCCGGGGCGCGGGCGGCGGGGCGGGCCCGGCGGCGGGGCGGCGCTGACGCGGGGCCGCGGTGCGGCGGCCGGGGGGAGGCGCGTCGCCAGCGTCCTCTTTTGTGCAGCGCCGGCGCCCGGTTCGGGAAGGTGCGCAGCGCTTCCTCTTCCTCCCCGGCGCCGCTTCCTTTTATAGCGATCTCTCGCCTGCGCTCGCCGGGGCCGCGGCCGCCGCTGCTCTCCCTGCTCCGCCCGCTCCGCCCGCCGCGCCGGGCCGCTCGCGAACCTGCGGCGGGGACGCGCGAGCGCCGACCCGGAAACGGCGGCGGCGCCAGGCTCCCGCGCCCGCGCCCCGCGCCTGCCGCCCGCGCCGGCCTCAGGTAGGTGCGGCCCCGCGCGGGCCCGGGCGGGAGCTGGGAGGGCGCGTGGGGCGCGCGTGGCGCTGGCCTGGGCGCCGAGGTCGGGGGCTCCCCACCCCCTCCGGGCGGACACCCCGGGGCCAGGGGGCGGCCAAGCCCCCGCGCGGCGCTGCCCGTGGCCCGCTGCAGGAGGGAGTTGGGGGGCCGGGCGCCCCGAACGAGGAACTGGGGCGAGCCGAATCTCCATCGGCCTGGAGACTTCCTCCTCGGGCAACCGCCACCACCAGCCTGCGTTTAAAGAGCACTTCCTCCTTGCCTTTTATCGTCTCATCAGCTTTTAAAGGTTTTATTTTATTATTTTGGAGGCGCGGGGGTCACTCTAGTTCAGACCGGCCTCGAACCGTGTCACCCAGGCTGGCCTCGAACTCTCAGGGATCCTTCTGCCTCAGCCTCCCGAGCGCCGGGATTGCAGACCGTTTTTTAAATGGAAGCTGAGTGTTCACGGGTGGGTGCTCTGCCTGAGCTGCAGAGCTCTCTTGGGGCTGCGTGCGCACCCAGTGGTCTGAAAGGAACCCGTGTGTCCTCTGTCGAGGGTGGGGAGAAAGAGGAACCAGGACTTCCCGCGCCAGAGGCCCCCGGGGTGGGAGTGAGGTGTCACTGCCCCAACCTGCTGCCAAAATGGAGGGGCGGGTGGAAAGGAGGCCTGCAGGGCCGGCTCACGTGGACTTTGCCTCTGGGTTTAATTCTTGGTGCTGCTCCTTACCAGGTTGGCGACCTTGGCTGAATTGAAACCCTCTCTGAGCCTTAGGCTGTCTGTGAAATGTCTGTGAAATGGGCTGCTCTGGGCTGGGCCTGGAGGAGAAGAGCGAGTGTGGGTACTCTGGCCAGGAGGGGGCGCTGGATGCAGGGGTCCTCTGTTGTATAGGAGTGGTACTCTGGAGCCTGGGGCACGCCTGCCATCTTGGCTCCTCTGCCTTGTTTTGGCACCCCAGTCCCCAGAGAACCGCGTTTTACCACCTTGGTTCCGTGGGTTCCACCCTCCCTCCAGAGGAAGCTCCTTTTGGGGAACTCCTGACTCCCCAGGAGGAAGGAGCTTCACCCCTCACTCTGAGGACCCCCCTCCCAATCCTTGGAAGATCACACTGGATGGTAATAAAAAGCAGGCATCGTCTTGATTGCCACGGGCAGATGATGGCTGAGGCGGCTGCCACTGCTGCCAGCTGGGATGATTTCCCAGGCCCGGGGCTTCCTGTAATTGTGGAGGAAGCTGGGGAGAGGTGGGTTTCTCCCAGAGTCGGGCTTGGAGAAGTGGTCAGCTGGCCTGAGCTCTCTTCCTGGAGAGCCATGTTGTCATTTGCCTGCTCTAGATCCTCTTTGGGGTTTTAGCATAGGAGGGGCAGCCTGCTCTGTGTGTATGCGCTGTGTGTGTGCGCAAAGTGTGTGTGTATAAAGGAGGTTACAGTGCGATACTGTACTTGGAAGTGGCTTTCGGATGAGGACTCAGGATGCATGTATGCGCTTTGCTTTGGGAAATTGGGCTTCTCCGATAGCTGCCCCTCTCCTTTCTGAACTCCCAAAGCCTTCTGCAGACCCTGGATTCTTAAGCAGCAGGGTGCAGCGGATGAGTCTGGGTGCCGCTGGTATTTTAAGCGGCAGCAGGAAGCTGCAGTTTGGGCATGTGCACATTCGTTTTGAACTCATGCTGTGGCCACGGTTGAAACATTGCTTTCTTTTACTCAGGCTTGGAGCGAGTCCAGGACTTGCCCGAGCCCCTCAGCCAGTGAGGGATGATGCCAGGCTCTCCCCTGAGTCCTGACCTACAGGGCTGAGATTCTGTCTGGTAGGGTCTGCTGCGTCCTGAGTGGGCTTTGTGTCTCTGGCACCAGAGGCCACCTGGCCTGTGCTGCAAACCTGGCTCACAGCTTTTGACAGGATGCGTAAGAGTAATGGCTTCGCTCTTGATGAGGTACAGTCTGTCTCATCTCAAGGTCAGGACACTGGCTTGTAGTGACCTTGAGACTGTCTTCTGGCTCCTCCCAGCGGGGACCTGTGCTGATGGTCTTCCATCAGTATCCAGCGAGTGACAGAGAGGAAGGACTCCTGGGGGACCTGGTACCAGCCTGACTGCCATCTCTTTGATGGAAGAGACCACCATCCACATGGCTCAGCAGTCTGAGCCTTGGCTGTCTCCAGCAGAATGGCCCAAGATAGTGCTGTGCAGGGGAAAACTCAGGTTTCTAATCAGCAGTCTTTCGCCACATGCTGACCACAGCCTCCAAACCCTCTTTCCCATCTCTCACGAGGCAGAGGAACACAAGAGAGAGAGATTCCCATTAACACCTGTGTGCCTAACCTGTGTCTTCGGCCTTGAGCCTCAGTCTTCCCATCTGTGAACCAGGCAGATAGGTCCTGGGTGTGTGCTGCTCAGGGAAGCTTCATAAGTATAGCCTGGAGCATGACTGCTTCCTGTTGTTGCCCTGGGCGGGGGTGGGGTAGGGCCCCTCTCTCCTTCCCTCAGGGGACACATGGCCAAGGCTTGTGTAAGACTTTGTGAGTGCCATCTTGCCTTTTGTTCCCAGCTCAGGGGAGAGGGGTGCTTTGCCTGTTTCTGTGCCTGCCTGGGTCCTAAAGCCATCCCTGTGAGTCCATGACACTCATTCAAGTCCTCAGTGACCTTCATTCTCGCCCCTTCCTTCCTGCTTGTGGCCGGGACTTGACCTCCCCAGGTTCTTAAGTTGGCGAAGCCCCTGTGGCTCAGTGGAACGGGCGTCTCTGAGAGTCTGGGTAGTTGGTGAAAGAGGTGACTTAGTCGCCAGAGATGCCTCCGACGTAGCCTTTCCTGTCTCTGGGCAGCAGGGCGATAGGATAGGGCCTGGGCTGCTGGGGTTCACACCCTGGCTGTCTGCTGCTCTTTGGCTCTGTGACCTTCGGCTGGCTTTGTCTTTCAGGTGAGGAATGGTGATAGCCACCTGCCTTTGTAGGGAGACTCGGAAGTTCAACGCACAGCATGTTGGTGCTCAGTGAAAGTCTGTTCCTCCCTGGCCCGGGCACTTCCTGTCCCTGCCTGGTCCTGCAGTGCCCTCGGAATCAGCCTTTGAGCCTCCTGAAGTCCGGGCGCACTGTTTTAGGCCTGTCCTGGACCGTGCAGGGCTCTGTGAGTGGAAGATGCTTCCCCGAGAGTCGAAGAGTGGGTGGGAGCGGCTGGTTTGCACACCGTCTGTCCCATTGATCTTCCCTGCTTGTCGGAGGCTTACTAGTGCCATCTGCTCCTCCAACATCTTGTTTATAAATATATAAATAATCAAGTCGATGAGGAGGTTTCTTCCAGAAGTGTTGCCGAGATTGATTTTTATAAATTTCTAACATAGTGTGAAACCATTGAAGGAATTGCAGAGTTTATTAAAAAACTGAAACTGTTATTTTGCAAAAGTTCCTTACTTTTTAGGCTGACGGGATGGCAGGGGTGGAGGATGAGAGGGAATACTTCCTGAGCGTGGGTGTGGGTCCCGGAGCAGGGAGGTGGGCAGCCAGTCTGAAGGTCGTTGGTATCTGATGGTGGCAGGTGTGTCATCACTCTTTGTGGGGTAGAGGAGGGTCAGGGATGGGTGTCAGAATTCTGGAGCTGCCTGGGCTTTCTGGAGACTCTTGAGAGGTCTGCTGGGTGACTTGTGCCTGGAATCCCCGGGGCATGCACGTTTCCAATCCTGCCGACACCTTCAGGGGCAGGCGTCTAGAAGGTTCTGAAGGTGAATCTCTTTTGGTTACCAATGGGTTGTGTTTTAGTGAGTCCTGCAGAGGCCCTCAGGTTGGGAGATTTCTGGCTGGTGAATGGCGGGAGGAGGAGCTCTTCCACCTTAAGCTGCCCAGAGTGTCTGCCTCTCTAGTGGCCCTGGTTTGTGTGCCACACCTTGAACGTGGTGAATTTGGACTCTTTGGTCTGACCCCCTCCCTCTATCTCTGGGACCAGCTAGTGCAGGGCTTTGTTAGCAGCAGAGGCTAGAGTGCAAAAACCAGGCGGTAACATGGGGAAGCCCAGTGTAGACTTTGTGTGCAGGGCACAGGCGGGTAGGGCAGAGAGCCCGCAGTGTCTGCCAGGTGCTTACCGAGTCGCCAGGGAGGGAGGGCGGCTTGAGCAGGCCACTCTGTCAGAGTCTCAGGCCTTCAGGGTCCCATACTCTTGCTAAGCAGATGAGGGAACTGGGACCCAGAAGAGGAAGTCACTTGCTCAAGGGGCAGTGTCCTTTGAGTCTTGTGGCTCCCATGCCCAGCTGTTCCCACCGCCCTGCCCCGCAGTGCCTGCCTGTGCACACCTCCAGGATGCCACATCTGAGGCTGCCGGGCCCCTGTCCCCATGCTGGCCCCAGGTCCTCTCATGAGAGTGGAGGAGGGACGGGGAGGGTATGTCCTGGAGGGGAGAAGGCTGCAGTGGCAGGAGGAAGAGGAACCCTCTCTACTCCTCTTTGGGAGCCTCATGATGCTGGCTCTGGCTACTTCTCACTGTCTGGGAGCTAAACCCACCTCAGCCCTGCCTCTGGGTCCTGTGCAATCTTGAACAGATCCCATCTGCTCTGCTCCCTGAACTGAGCAGAGCTGGCATCCCCTGCCTGTCGGAGGTGTTCGGAGGGTTAAGTGGGATGGGGTGTGCAGAACCACCTGGAGTGGCCCTAGTGGGAACACCGTGTGAGCACTCCACAGAGGCGGGGTCCTGGTGATGACAGAGAGCTGTACGGGCTGGTCCAGGGTCTGTCTGGCCTGCTCCTGGCCTTGCTGCAGAGGTGGGGTATGAATCCAGTGTCAGGGAGAGTTTTTGTCAAGATGTTTTCAGAATGCTGAGGTGGCTTTGTGCAAAACTGAGTGGCCAGCACCTTTGGAAGGGGACAGTGACAGGTGAAAATCGTGGGCCTTGGCTCCCTGACCTCCAAGCCTCTTGCAAAGGGCGCATCCTCCCTGGGTGCCTCAGTGTCAGCTTTCTAGCCTGTCGGGACTGCTTATTGGACCAGCCCTGTGTTTCCCTGGCCTAG